TGTACCTGTGCTCATGTGTCTTTGTCCCTGTTCAGTCTTTGCGTGAAGACAGCTATGATGACATACATGTTATAGTATGTTCACCTATGCTCATACACATATTCATGTTTCAATCAGTGCTCCCAAGTGCTCATGTGTGTGTGTGGCAGTGTGTATACCTGGCATCCTATCCGGTGGGGGTGCCCTGCCGACGAGGGGAAGCTTGGATGTTTTGGCAAGATCTTCTGGCCACTCAGCCTGAGTCAGCACACCTCCTCAGAGCGGGCTGGCTCCTTCTTGAGACAGTGTGGTATCTCCTGCTGTGGCCAGAGAGGGCAAGGGAAGAGGCTGTTTTCCTCAGCTGCCCGCTCCACAGGCCACCTCCTGCCATCCCTCTAGCCTGAACCCAGGCCGTCAGAGGCTCTGTACCACACCTCCGCCTGACAGTACCTGGGGTAAGGGGCTCTTATGGCCAGAAGATGGACAGCTGACTCCCCATGTGGCTGGCTTCTTCCGCCAAGTGGGCAGCTAAATCAACAGGCTCAGAAACTGGAGAGGGGCTCAGGCCCGGGCTGTCCATCAGTCTGTCTGTTTGTTTGTTTGTTCTAGAGTTGTGGGGACTTCTAGCCTGCAGGGGGCCCTGGTGACCTGGGGGGGGATAGTATTGCCCGTCCAGCCTGACCACCCTTCTCTCCAGCTCCCCTCTGGACATCTTCTCCGACACTTGGCCCAGAACACAGCAGCCATACTGTTTCCATGGGAGGCAGGAGGCCAGCTGTGCATGGCGGTCCTCCCAGGAGGTGAGAGTCCTCTTCTGTGACTGTATCTCTTGTCTTGTTTGTCCCTGTTCACCCTGAAGTCATCAGGGCCTCAGGACCTAGACATTTCAGGGTCTGAAGTGGGTCAGCCTTTGCCTGGTGGCTCTGGGGCACAGGGAGAGTCTCAGTGAAGAGGAGCATGTCAAGTGACTCAACTCTCCAGGCCCTCCCGGAACTACAGGCTGCACACAGGAAGCTGTTCGCCAAGCTGCCCAAAAGCCTGCTCGGGGGTGCCCAGCCGGGCCCCCAGGAAGGCTCCCTGAGTCCCCTGATCCTCCTCTGTGAAACCCCACTGCAGAACTGGATGCTACTCCTCTTTTCCAGGGGGTCCTGCTTGCAGCTGTGTGCCGCAGGCCCCAGTGCTGAGCCCTGAGTGGAACTCAGTGAACTCCTGGATGAAGTTCCGGTGAAAGGCTTCACACGAGGGTGGGCTTGACAAGTTTCAGCAGTGGGTCCGAGTCAGAGAGGTAAGGTACCAGGAGAGGAAAGGGTCCAAGACCAGGAGGAGAATTTGAGTTAAGAAAGGGGAGATCTCAGGGAGCGGCCAGACAGGGAGGGAGCGCTTATCTCTCCACTATCTCTGGGCAGTGTCCCTGGGCTCACAAAATTCACGTGCGGGGCGCAGGGCACAGGAGCCATGTGGCACCTCCTGGCCCCAGTTCTTCTCTTGACATGGGCCTGGCCCCTCTTCCAGCTCTAGCTCCAAGTCACACCAGGACCCACCAGCGCCTACTCCTGGCCGGGTACAGCGTTTGCACACGCGGCGCTTGTGCTCGTGGGGCTAGTGGTTGCACGTGCAGGTGCTGGCTGGATGCACGACCCAGATTTCGACGGGATCCCGAGCCGCCAGCGCTCTCCCCCCACAGGACAACTTACCCCCACAATTTTTCCCAAGATTGGTCGGCTGGAGACCAGGGAGGGCGGGAGGCCACAGTCATTTGGGCCCAGCGACTGCGCGACACGGCACGTTTCTTACCAGCGTGCCTCCAGAGCTGGGGTCTCCAGAGCTGGGGTCTCCCGATCTGCCTTGTTCCCTAGGGTCACCCGGAATGGCTCAGTTACAGCCTCGGGCCAACCACCTACAGGGCGGACCGCCGCCGCCGCCGCAGCGCGCCCGAAGGGCCTGGGTCCCTGCGCAGGCAGCCGCCAGGGGGCTGGGAGCGGGGGAAGAGCGCAGAGCCTCCCGCAGGCCCGCGGCTCCCGGCTCCGGCGAAGGTCGAACTCCCACCCCGGCGCCTCGGAGACTCCCGCGCGTCCGCGTCTGGGGCGCCGAGGCAGAGCCGCCGCCGACGTCAACCGAGAAGCCGGGGAAGCTGTTCCTGGCGTGGCCACCGGCTTCCTTTGAGTCCTTGAGGCCGCGTCCAGGCAGGCGCTGGAGGCAATTCCCAGCTATCAATCCTGAAGTGAATTAACCGGGTCACGTAAAGCCCAGCCTCTCTCCGAGCCTCCCTCGGCGCCTTGAGGGACGTAGCCTGAGTCTGCCCTCCATGTTCTGACTTCTGGAGGAGGGGACCCCAGCGCCCCGACCTCTGCACGGATCCACCTGTGTGCATGTTTGCTCCAAGGAGCCCAGAGTCGACGCCGGGAGGCCCCTGGGCGCGCGCACTTTGTTCGGGGAGCCGGTAAGCCCTAAGAGCCGCCGCGGGCTGTCAGGCCGCCGGAGACGACGGTGCGCAGGGACTTGGGCTGCTGGCAGCCAGGCTCTGAGAGGCCCGCGTCGGTACAATAGACGGGGAGTGAGGAGTGGGGCCAGTGGGTGTGGGGGGCTGGTCTGCCCGCTCCCCTGGGGCAGCCACGTGTGCCCAAGGGAGGCGGAGCCGAGCCGCGGCGAAGCAGGCCCGCAGGATTCTCTAGGGGTCTGTCTCCTGCGCACCGGGAACTTCAGGAATTCGACTGGCTTCGCCTCCGACCCTGCAGATGGCCGACCAAGGGGTGTGTGAGTTGAGGCAGAGTCCAGCGACGGTGCTGGGGTGCAGCCAGACGCCCATATGGCCTGCCGCAGGGCCCAGGGTTCAAGGCAAAAAAAAAAAACAAAAAAAACCAGCTGCCCAGCTTCTCAGCCCCATTCCGCTCCTCCATCTCAAGCCTCTGCTCCCCACTCCTTTCCTGCCAGCCGTCAGTCTCGAAGCTAAAATTCAGTTTTAGGGCCCGTGAAATGGTCTAGTCAGGGATGTCAATCCCCTGCCTCAGCTTTGAAGAATTGCTCTTGTCGCTCTTCCTGGAACGTGGAGGAGCGGAGGGTGCAGCCCAGGCCCCAGCCACGCACTGCGCCCTCAGGACTAAGATGTGCAGCTCACGACCCCTGCGTGCAGCCTGGCTCTGTGGGGCTGCAAAGCACCGGCTGGCAGCCAGGCTTCCTACCGCCACGGTGGAAGCGCGGCCGGCAGGGGGAGCGAGGCGGAAGGGAGCGGCGGCCGGTGCAGGTGAGGGAGGAGCACTTCCCGAGGGTAAGGCTCTGCGTTCCTTCCGAACCTGTGCGCGCCGGGTGTAGGGCTACCAAATGGATTCGTTCCTTCGCGCTGCGGGCGAGAACTGGCCGTCAGGCAGCGACGGGAGGAGAGGAGCTCAGGCCAGTGACTGGGCGACAGGCACCGACCTCACAGTTTCGGGGCAGCGCCCAGGGTGGGGGCGGTCCTAAGAGCCGGGTCCTGAGGTCTCCACTGCAAGCTGGAGGCTCGGGTGGACTCTCACTTGCAGGGCTTCGAGTTTCTTAAGCCAGTCTTCCTAGGGGTTCCAACTTTCTACTGTAAGGAGAGTTAGGGAGGAAGGGATGCCGGCCACCAAAGGGGTGCGTCTCTGCTGCTAGTGGAGCGGGTTGGCCACACACAGAACAGGCTGTGTGGGGCCCCTCACCCGTCCCCAGCGAGCCTCTGCTCCGGGCATCGTTTGCCTGTGTCTTTGCTGTGACGCGTTTGCTGACCCACAAGTGCAGTCACAGCAGGAAGGGGTTAATGGAGACTAGGGAGGCTTCCCCTACCACGGCAGGTGAGGGCTGGGGGCATCCAGACAGACCCCAGGGCTGACGCAGAGTAACCAGGGGTTCCAGAGGTTTTTCACTTTCACTTCTCAGTGTTGGCCTCATTGGGGCCCAGAAGCTGGCTGCAGCCCTGGGAAGGGGTACTGGGGGAAGAGATCAGCTACTCCACCCTGGGACGATGTACGTCCCAATCATGCAAGATCACCTGCCAGAGCCCTCCCGCTACATCTCTGCACAGAGCCTCTGTGGACAAGGATCTTGATGCTGCTACATCTCTGCACGCTGCTGTGACCTTTATGCACCCACCCACCTGCCCAAGGCTGGGCTAGCCTAGGAGGCAGTCCCTTCTGGGGTTCTGGAGGCAACTGGGGTATCCCTGCTCAGAGAAGAGGAAAATAACCTGTGGCCCGCCTAGACTCCACACTACACTCCTTAGGTCTGCCCCCAGGCCAGTGCCACAGGTCACTATCAGTCCTCTGAATGGCCAGCCACTCAGCAACCAAGGAGTGACCTGGTGACAGCCTCCCTTTCTTAACATTCGGTGTCCTTAAGCTCCCAGCTGCAGATTGGGGCAGGCTGAGGGTACCAGTCCAGTTACACACACACACCCCACCCCACCCCGACCCATCTCACACAGCTCCTGGGGACCCACTCCCTGCACCCCGACCTTGATCCTCCCTAGAATTCAAGTCTCCACCTAGTAGTAGCCGCTGCAGCCCAGGAAAGGAGGCCCTGAGGTTGTAAACACCCCAGGAGAGGCTGCCTGCATCCCACCACATCCTGAGTCAGCTCAGCAGAAGGCCTGGGCCGAGGAAGGCCTTGGAAACAGGGCCTTGTCTACTAGTCTTCAGCAGAGTCAGGGAGGTTCTGGGCTTCATATCCTGAGCATGAAGGGCATGGGCATCCTGAACGGGTCAGAGAGGCCCCAGAGTTAGTACAGAAGGTGCAGGACATGTGGGGCGTTGATGTACTGACCTTGGACCTTGAGGCCCAAAAGCTAAGGGCCTGGCCCTGCACCTTAGCAGCTAGGCCTAGCTGTGGGCAGGCTGGCTGCAGGGTGGAGAGGGGACAGCACCCCACCATGCGGTCTGCATTTCTCCGACGTGTCCTCAGCTCCCTCGGCCGGCCAGGCCCCGCCCCCGGCCCTCCCTGCGCCCCGCTGGTGCGCAGGGAGGTCGGAGGAGCGGGCACTGCCCACCCTCCGGATGTAAAAGCGTCCTGGCCAGAGGCGGGCGGTGCGCGCGGGGTGCGCGTGACGCTGGGGCTCCCGGGCTGTGCGGCCTGGGCGGCGTCCCACGGCTCGCTTCCCCACCACGAAAGCAAGCTGACCCAAGGGGCCTGTAGGGGCATTTGCTGGTGAGGTCCAGCTCTGCGGCCGGAGGGGACGGAGGACTCCGCAGCCCTGGGGCTCTCTGCCTGTGGCCTGTGCGAGAGCCGGAGCCGCTCTGCTACCCAGGTGCAGGGGCCGCTGGGGAGGAGGTGGAGGCAGGTGGGGCCAAGGGCAGGGCTAGACTTAGGCAGCCCCTCAGTGCCTCACCAGTGCCCTGCCGTCTCAGACTGGGACTGAGTGCTTGAGACATAGCGGCTTCTCCTTGGGGGCTGTAGACTCTGGTGGTGGCTTCGCCTAATAGAGGGGACGCCCAGCCTCCGCAGAAGCAGAGGGATGTTCAAGGGGCGTTGGTCACACAGAGCCCTGGGAGCAGAGGCCAGGGACAGAGAGCTTGGAAAGCAGGAGGGCCCTGAATTTCCAGGGCTCTTCAACGGTTCGGACTCCCGGGCCAATACCGGCTGAAAATGGGGGGTCTCATGACGCCATAATCCCTGGGGCCTGGGACCGACGGCTGTGAGTGGCACCACAGGCCCCCGCCCCCGGGCCCCCTGCGCTGGGCTGGGCGCGGTTCTGCTGGGCGTACGCAGTCGGAGGCGGCGCCGCTCAGGCCCGGGTGCCTATGGACGCGCGGAGCCCGCTGTCTGCCCGGGCCAGCGCGTTCAGCATCGCCTCTCTTGTTGCAGCCGAGGCCTCGGAGGGCACCGCCCACCGGGGCCCCAGGCCCTCGGACTGGGCGAAACTTCGCCGGCTACCAGGATCCCCAGCCGGGATGCACTTCAGCACAGTCACCAGGGACATGGAAGGTGAGCCTTCTGTCCGCGTCTACACCGGCCGGCCGCCCGCTGGCCCCCTGCTGTGAGGCCCTGCGGCCCAGCGGGTAGGAAGGAGCTCTAGGCTGGGTGGGCGCCAACCTTGAAGCTGGGACTCTGGGACAGGGAGGAAGGGCCGGCATTCCCCAAAGTCAGTCCACCCACCATTCTGGGACTCCAACCTCGGGGACCGAGCACAGCAGCAAGGTCTTCCAAAGAGAGGACAACGGGAGGCTTTGAACCGGCAGAAGGAAAGATGGTTAGAGAAGAGTCAGGGAACACAGTAAGGGGGGGGGGGACAAAAACAAACAAACAAACAAACAAAAAATACAAAGTATCGAGATCATCCCAGAAGAAAGTAAACTGAGAAAACAGAAAATACAACAAAGGTAAGAGAGGAAGACACACACACAGGAAATAAAGATAACGAAAGAGAAAATGAAGGAAAACTTGAGACAGAAAAAAAGTAACGCTATTAAAGAGGAAGACTAAGAGAAAGACTTTAGATGTTATTTACCTTTAAAAGGGCAAAGACAGGAATAACAGAGAACGTACAGGAATAAGAAGAGGTTAGACGAAGGGGAGGACAAGGAGTTTTCAAAGTGGCAAGAGTGACACCGGGAAAAGAGAGAGGCAGGGGGTAGGAGAAGCTGCGGCCGCAGGAGAGGGGACGGCAATGAGATGAGAAGTTGAAACCAGGGACACAAAAGGTAGAGGAGCAAGAACTCTGGGAGCGTCT